CAAGCAATTCTCCTGCCTCAGCCTCCCGAGTAGCTGGGATTACAGGCGTGCGCCACCACACCCAGCTAATTTTTTTTTGTATTTTTAGTAGAGACGGGGTTTCACCATGTTGGCCAGGATGGTCTCGATCTCTTGACCTCGTGATCCGCCCGCCTCGCTTCGCTGGGATTACAGACGTGAACCACCGCGCCTGGCCCCTTTTTTTTTTTTTTTTTGAGAGGGATTTTCTTTTTTTTTCCCCGGTGGAGTGGAATTGCATTATCTTGGGTCACTGCAACCTCCGCCTCCCTGGTTCAAGCAATTCTCTTGCCTCAGCCTGCTGAGTAGCTGGGATTACAGGCATGAGCCACCATGCCCAGCTAATTTTTGTATTTTTAGTAGAGATGGGATTTTGCTATGTTGGCCAGGCTGGTCTCGAACTCCTGGCCTCAAATGATCCGCCCGCCTTGACCTCCCAGGGTGCTGGGATTACAGGTGTGAGCCACTGGACCCGGCCAACCCGCTATCCATTCTGATAGAACGTTGTTAGTCTCACAATTATTTTGTATCACATCCTACTTACAGGAAAAAATATTTCAGAGTTCCCAATATTGCCTCTAACTATACTTCCTATTCCAATATTCTCACCATGATCTCTTCCTTGTTCTGAAAAACAGACCATTCTCATGCCTCTAGATCTTCGTGCTAAAGTGAAATTCTCTGACCCTTTTATCCCATGTAACCTCTAACTTACTTTTTTTTTTTTTTTTTTGAGACGGAGTTTCGCTCTTGTTACCCAGGCTGGAGTGCGCGATCTCTGCTCACAGCAACCTCCGCCTCCTGGGTTCAGGCAATTCTCCTGCCTCAGCCTCCTGAGTAGCTGGGACTACAGGCACGCACCACCATGCCCAGCTAATTTTTTGTATTTTTAGTAGAGACGGGGTTTCACCATGTTGACCAGGATAGTCTTGATCTCTTGACCTTGTGATCCACCTGCCTCGGCCTCCCAAAGTGCTGGGATTACAGGCTTGAGCCACCGCGCCCGGCCTAACTTACTTTTATGTTCTGTGCCACCTTCAGAGAGCTTAAGTAGCTGCCTCACATATCTAACGTATTGTTTTTGCGTATGTGTGTATTTGTGTTCCTGCTGGACACTAGAAACTCTTGAAGGACAATTATTTGATTTCCAACTACTCCATCCGTTGCTCATTAGCTGCCCTATAAATATATGCAGAATGACCTTAACAAGATAGGGAATAGTGTGAAAAACAGTTGTTTGCTTAACTTGTTTCTCTCCAAAGGTTTCCCATCTTCATGCCTCAGAATGAGCCTCATTTTTTTTTTTTTTTTGAGACAGTCTCACCCTGTCGTGCAGGCTAGAGTGCAGTGGCGTGATCTTCGCTCACTGCAACCTCCACCTCCCAGGTTCAAGTGATTCTCCGCCCTTGGCCTCCCAAGTAGCTGGGACTACAGGTGCATACCACTATGCCCTGCTAATTTCCATTTTCAATAGATGGCATTTTGCCAGGTTGGCCAGGCTGGTCTCAAACTCCTGACCTCAGGTGATCCACTGACCTCTGCCTCCTAAGTGCAGGGATTACAGGTGTAAGCCACTGCGCCCGGCCCGCCCCTTTTTTGTCTAGTTTTTTGTCCTATCAAAGTAAAGGAGCCTTAGCTCAACCTCGCAGAATAAAACAGCTAAGGGAAACAATCTATGATCTTCTAAGAGTAACACCCTAGGTCCAGGTCAGGGGAAGCAAAGGGAGGGAATCACTACGGCCAGCTAACCTCAAATTTGCTTTTCCCACTGTTCCTTTCCTCGTTTTTTTTTTTTTTTTTTTTTTTGAGACGGAGTTTCACTCATGTTACCCAGGCTGGAGTGCAATGGCGCGATCTCGGCTCACCGCAACCTCCGCCTCCTGGGTTCAGGCAATTCTCCTGCCTCAGCCTCCTTAGTAGCTGGGATTACAGGCACGTGCCACCATGCCCAGCTAATTTTTTGTATTTTTAGTAGAGACGGGGTTTCACCATGTTGACCAGGATGGTCTCGATCTGTCGACCTCGTGATCCACCCGCCTCGGCCTCCCAAAGTGCTGGGATTACAGGCTTGAGCCACCGCGCCCGGCCCTCCTTTCCTCTTAAACCTGAGTAAAATGAGCTTTGAACCTTCAAATCCCTGTTAAACTGAGTTGCAACCTAGGCAAGAGACCGAACAGTAATTCCCCTCATATTCATTCACTGCTTTTCCTTGTTAAGATAATTGGGTTGCTGAGGAGGAGGACATGAAGCCTTAAGAGTGAAGCTGGAGTGTTGCAAGCTGGAAAATATGCAGCTTTTGTTTAGGGTAACATGAACAAAACTGAGCCTGGGTGGTGGAGTAGGAGGGTGAGCAGATGGTGTATGAAAAAGAATCAAGAAGAAAGAAGTTTAAATAACTGATTAAAGTTTATTACATTAAAACCATATATCACTTTTATACTGCATTTGCCATTTCTGAACAATACAAAGTAGAGGCAAATAGTGACACTTCATAAAAATGTTGACTCCCCATTCCTTTCCGTAAGACCCACCCAGCCCTCCCTCAAATATTCCCTCCCACCCCTTACAGAACTCTGCCCATAATAAAACACTTAAATACATCATAAATAGTAAATTATGAAAAAAAAAATAGCAAGAACTGTTTCTTTCCTTCTTGTAAAAAAGAACATGGCAGCAAAGACAGGCAGCCAGAAACTGGCTGGGGGTGTCTAATATAGACAGTTATTTGGGGTATGAACTAACCTACTATCAGGGCAGGGTGGGATAGAACAGCAATTCAACAAGCTGCCTGAGATACCAGGCCCCCTTCTTCCCCTGATAAGAATAGAAGGATCAGATGAAAAATCGTAACACTTGTAGATGGGGAGGAGAGGGCATATGTAGCCACCTTTTCCAACTTCCCTGCATGAAGACAGGGGGGTAGGACATACGGCACAGCAGTGACCTCACCGAGGCAAGAATCTGCTGTCTTCCCATAAGTTTAAGAAAATATTTGCTGGCCTCGTAGATATGGACTGCCTGTTAAACAGACAGAGGTGTCCCCTCTTCAACTTAGCTCCACAAATAGGAGAACACTGTTGGAAAAGATGGGAAGAGCAAAAAAAAATCTCCTCTGGAGAATGATCTAAAATTCATTTGGTAAGTCTTTATATTTAAAAAAACAACCAGAATATACTCCAATTTGCAAAATAGTAATAATCATTATAGTCGGGCAGTGAATAGGATTCTGCCTAGAAAGGGCTATGATCTCCCAGCCCATGGCTGCCTCATGTTTTAACAAAAGGGGTAAAGAATACCCCACGTCCCTCTCTCTCCATTTCTTCAGCCTTAAGAAATTCATCAAGAGAGGACGAGTTTAGAGGAGCTGCTTCTGGCAGAGCAATCACTACTCTTCACAAATACCATGGCTCTTCTGAGGGAACCCTAAGAATAGGCATCTCGTCAACACTTCTGGAGTTTTGATCTGAAACTGGCTTAAAATTGTGTGCTGTGCGCTTTTTCCTTTTTTCAGGGAAAAAAAAAAAAAAAGTTGGGAGGTGGTTTAAATACCCTTATCCCCCAAAAACTTTTACAGAGATTACAGGAGTCTTCTTCCAGGGATCAGAGAGAAAGAACGAAGGCAGGGATAATGTGCTAGCTAGTCTGTCCTGAGGAAATTAAAGAGTCCAGTTCCTAGTGAAAGAAGAGAGGAAAGAAAACTGCCATGTCTAGCAATCCCATTTCCAGCATGAAGAATAGGGGTCTGAAAAAAATTCAATTGTGGAAGCCAAGGTTAGCCAGTTGAAAATCCGTGCTACCCAACTCTGGAGTGGAGGGGATGCTGCGGTCCTCAACTGCCTGAGGCACCAATGCCCATTCATGAGGAAGGGGAAGGAGAGGAGGTTCTTCTTCAGGAAGAAAATGGAGAGCTCCCCTCACTTCTATTACACTCATTTTTTGATGACCAAGTAGAAGAAAATTCAACATTGTTGGGGCAAAGGCTGACATCTTGGGATCACAGAGATGACAGAATCTCGTTCCAGGTCTTCTGAGGCTTTGCACTTACTGAAAAGGAGAGAGTGTAAAGTTAAGAAAGTGGAGTATGAGATAAGGCAGGAATGGAATTCAAGCATTAAAAAGTATATTTCAGCCTTAGCCTCCAAATACGAGGTACCAAAAACACATTTTTTAAAAGAATAAGATCTAGGAGGTACCCAAATCTCTAACCTTGCTAATTAACTTCTGGCTCCAGGCCATCAGTGATCGTCTTTATACCCTCCTAAACTTTCACCTCCCACACATCCCAGACACTCACATGGGTGAACTCTGACTCTGCAATCTCAAGCTTTTCCAAGGTTGTACTAACAGGAGAAAAAAAATAGGAGCAGAGAGAAAAAGAATTAGAAGACAAGAAGAAAGGACTCTCCTCTTAAAATCTCATACTACTTCTCTAATTTTCACACCAGAATCAATTTGGGGAATTTGGAAACAAGAGGCTAAGAGACTGCTACATTTAGAAGCACACTGTTTTAATTAGCTATATTTAGCTTCTTGAATACTATATTTCCCAGTACCCTGCCCTCTTCTGTTTCAATCTCCAGGTGTGGTAGGTACCCCCAAGATTGCCCCCAATAATCCCCACCTCCTGAGGTTCATGCCATTGTGTAATTCTCTCTCTTCTCAAGCGTGGGCTGCACTTAGTGATTCTTTTCTCATGAACAGAATGCAGCACAGGTGATGGAATGTCCATTTCGAGATTAGGTTACAAAAAGACTGTAGCTTCTTCTTGGACTCATGTTCTCGCCCCCTGCTTGCCTGCTCACAGCAGCTATGAGCTGGCTATGCATAAGGCGATGTGACAAGGAACCGTATACTGCCAACAACTATGTAGGTGAGCTGAGAAGCTGATCTTCCCTCAGATAAGCTTTGGGACCAACAGCTTGACTGTAATCTCCAGAGAGAACCCAAACCAAAGGCATCCAGCTAAGGTACAGAAACTGAGATAACACATTTTTACTTTTTTTTGAAACAGATCTCACTCTTGTTGCCCAGGCTGTAGTGCAATGGTACGATCTTAGCTCACTGCAACCTCCACCTCCTGGGTTCAAGTGATTCTCCCACCTAGCCTCCTGAGTAGCTGGCATTAAAGGCATGTGCCAAAACGCCCAGCAATTTTTCTATTTTTAGTAGAGACAGGGTTTCACCATGTTAGCCAGGCTGGTCTCGAACTCCTGACCTCAGGTGATCGACCCTCCTCAGCCTCCCAAAGAGCTGGGATTACAGGTGTGAGCCACCACGCCCAGGTTGAGATAAATGTGTTTTCAACAGCTAAGTATGGGGCTAATCAGTTACACAAAAATAGATAATATAGATTTTTGTACCTGGAATTCAGGTACTGCCGTAACAAAAATCTAAAATTTGGGGGTGGTAGCCTGGTACAGTGGGCTCATGCCTGTAATCCCAGCACTTCGGGAGCCTGAGCAGGAAGATCAACTGAGGCCAGGAGTTCAAGACCAGCCTGAGTAACATCGCGAAACCTCGTCTCTACTAAAAATACAAAAAAAAAATTAGCTGGGCATGGTGGCGCGTGCCTGTAATCCCAGCTACTCAGGAGGCTGAGGTAGAAGAATTGCCTGAACCCAGGAGGCGGAGGTTGCGGTGAGCCGAGATTGTGCCATTGCACTCCAGCCTGGGTAACAAGAGCGAAACTCCGTCTCAAAAAAAAAAAAAAAAAAAAAGGGGGTGGTTTGGAGGAGCATTTTAGTGAAAACTTATTGTCCTGAATATGCTGTTTATAGAATTTTGGACTTAAAGGGGGTTGCCGGTGAGGGCTTAAAGTGAGAAAAATGTTACTGCAAACTGAAGAAAAGGAGATCCCAGTAAGGCAGCAGCACAAGGTTTAACAATGTCATTTGTGATTATGTGAAAAGTAGAATATGTGCCTCATGAATTGGACAGTCTAGCTAAGGAGATTTCCAAGCAAAGTCGTGCAGGTGCCACCTGGTTTTCTCTTAATGCTTATAGTAAAATATAAGAGACCAGGCACGGTAGCTCAAGCCTGTAATCCCAGCACTTTGGGAGGCAGAGGCGGGCAACTCATGAGGTCAGGAGTTCAAGACCAGCTTGGCCAACATAGTGAAATCCTGTCTCTACTAAAAATACAAAAATTAGCCAGATGTGGTGGTGCACGCCTATAGTCCCAGCTACTCAGGAGGCAGAGACAGGAGAACTGCTTGAACCCAGGAGGTGGAGGTTGCAGTGAGCCGAGACCATGCCACTGCACTCCAGCCTGGGTGATACAGTAAGACTCTGTCGGAAGAAAAGAAAAGAGAAAAAAAGGAAAGAAATTATGGGAAGGACTATTAAACAAAAAGATTCCAGAACGTGATAGGTCTTGAAAATTCTCCAGAGAACAAATGATGCTAAAATTAAGAAATGGCAGGCCACATACGGTGGCTCACTTCAGGAGGCACAGGGAGGAGGACTGTTTGAGACCAGCCTGGTTAACACAAGGAGACATCATATCTACCAAAAAAAAAAAAAAAAATGCTTTTGAGCAAGGATAAGCTCCAGGGCACTGCCAAGAAAATGTGGTCTAAAGACGAAGCCAAATATATGACTATGAAACATTTCATTAAGACCTCAGAAAAACAAAAAGCGGTGGTTCAGAGTATAGTCATCCCTCAGTATCTGTGGGAGACTAGTTCCAGGATCTCCTCTTGAATACCAAAATCCACAGATGCACAAGTCCCTTATAATATAGAATGGTATGGTATTTGCAAATAACTTATGGACATCTTCCATATACTTTATTTTTATTTATTTACATATTGAGATAGGGTCTTGCTCTGTCAACTAGGTTGGAGTCCACGGGTTCAATTTTGGCTCACTGAAACCTCTGCCTCCCAGTTCAAGCATTCCTCCTGCCTCAGCCTCCCGAGCAGGTGGGGCTACAGGCACGTACCACCGAGCCAGGCTAATTTTTTTGTATTTTTGGTAGCGACGGGGTTTTGCCATGTTGCTCTTAGGCTGGTCTTAAACTTCTGGGCTCAAGTGATCTGGCCTCAGTCTCCCAAAGTGCTGGGATTACAGGCATGAGCCATTGCAATCAGCCCTCCATATATTTTAAATCATCCCTAGATTATTCATAATAACTAATACAATGTAAATGCTGGTAAATAGTTGTTATACTGTATTGTTCAGGGAATAATGACAAGTCCATATATGTTAAGTACAGACACAACCACTGTAGGCCTAATTGTATAGTACATGTCAGAAATAACATACAAGAATTTTTTTTGAGACAGAGTCTCACTCTGTTGCCCAGACTGGAGTGCGGTGGTGCAATCTCAGCTCACTGCAACCTTTGCCTCCCAGGTTCAAGCCATACTTCTGCCTCAGCCTCCTGAGTAACTGGGACCACAGGCATGTGCCACTACGCCTGGCTAATTTTCTGTATTTCTAGTAGAGACGGGGTTTCACCGTGTTAGCCAGGATGGTTCCAATCTCCTGATCTTGTGATCCGCCTGCCTCGGCCTCCCAAAGTGCTGGGATAACAGGTGTGAGCCACTGTGCCTGGCCTTTTCTAAGGGACAGAGTCTCGTTGTATTTACCAGGCTGGTCTCAAACAGCCTCAAGCAATCCTCCCACCTCAGCCTCCCAAAGTGGTGGGATTACAGGCATGAGCCACCACACCAGGCTCTCAAGTGTTTTCAGTTCACAGTTGGTTGAATCTGGAATGTGGAACCTGTGGATACAGAGTATGATTGTACTATTCAGCCATACAAAAGGCTGTTCAAAAAGATTATGTTCCACAGATTCTTTCAAGTGAAAAACAGGGTCTCTAAGAGGCTTAGGTCTCTAGACCGGGGCACGGTGGCTCAAGCCTGTAATCCCAGCACTTTGGGAGGCCGAGGCGGGTGGATTATGAGGTCAAGAGATCGAGACCATCCTGGTCAACATGGTGAAACCCCATCTCTACTAAAAAAATACAAAAAATGAGCTGGGCATGGTGGCGTGTGCCTGTAATCCCAGCTACTCAGGAGGCTGAGGCAGGAGAATTGCCTGAACCCAGGAGGCAGAGGTTGCGGTGAGCCGAGATCGCGCCATTGCACTCCAGCCTGGGTAACAAGAGTGAAACTCCGTCTCAAAAAAAGAAAAGAAAAAGGAAGACTCAGAAGATAAAACCAACAGTCTAGAGGGTAGAGCCAACAACCATGGAGAATTATTCCTCTGTTTTAAAACCTGATAAGAGAAACTCCAACATTTTCTGGATTTTGGAACCACTAATAAAATTAATGACTCCTTTTTGTGCCTCCCATTCTCCCCTTTTATGTACAGAAATGTGTATATTCGTTATCTAATGCCTGTCTCATGATTGTATGCTAGGTACATGGGGAAAGGATACTTGTCTCTTTAGTTCCACAGGTTCACAGATTGAGAGGAACTGTACTCGAGGAGCTGTGCTTAAGGAACTATACCTGGCGGGGCTTATCCAAACCTGGACCTAATTTAGGTAATAAAACTCTGGGCTTTGAGCTAATGCTACAATGGGATGAGACTTCGGGAGGCCTTGGGAGGGAGTCAGTGTATTTTGGACATGGACGTACGTAAACTACTGGAGACCAGAGGGCAGACTATGACAGGCAGTTTCTAAGATGGCCCCCAATGATCCCTGCGCCTCCTGGTATTCACATCCATAGGCAATTCATTCCTCTTGAGTGTAGGCTGCATTTAGTGAACAGAATGTAGCACAAGGAATAAGTAGAATGTCAATTCTGAGATTACGCTATAAGAGGCTATGGTTTCTGCATAGGCACATGCTCTCTTGTTCACTGTTAGAGGCCAGCTGTCATGTACTGAGCTGTCCTATGGAGAGGTCCATGTAACAAAGAACTGAGGGAAGCCCCGAGCCAACAGCCAGCAAGGAACTAAGGCCCTCAGTTCAGCAACCCCCAAGGATCAGAATCCTACCTGTAACCATGTAAATAAGTTAGAAGCAGATCCTCCCATTTGAGCCTTCAGATGGGACCCCAGCCCTGGCCAACAGCTTAAATGCCACTTCATGAGAAATCTTCAGCCAGAGGACCCAGCTAAGCTGGGCCTGGATTCCTGACCCATAGAAAGTATGATATATGTTGGTTATTTTAAGCCACTAACCTTTGGGGTAATTTACTATGATGCAATCAAATTACGAAGGTTTCCAAGGACTTGAGAGATAAGATTACACGAAGAAAGAGGCAAATAAACCAACCTTGTAGTTCGCATTTGCAAAGTCTCTCCAACTACAGGTGAGAAACTGGGGTCAGGAATAGGTGAGCCCTCATTGATTTCCTCCAAAGGTGGAGTCTGAGGTAAAACATCAGGACGGCCAAGATGAACTCCTGGAGAAAAAGAAAGAGAACATGGGGTAGGGAAAAATATGTAGCAGCTTGGCTTCCTGGAAAGAAATGGGGAGGAAAGGTCCTGGCCAGACAAGGAAAGGGCTCAGAAGGAAGGGACAGAGTAACCAATCACATGGGGACCCCAGCCCTAACACTGACCTGGCTCCACTTCCGCCTTTGTTGTCACTTGTTCCTTGTGTTCCCCAGAGACTGATGGCTGGTAAGTAATGCAGGAGTTGCCACTGGAGCCTGCTCGCCGAGAGAAAGATGAACCAGACCGGAACTTTTTGGAAGGAGAAGGCTTCACTTCAAAAGGGAAAGAGAGAACCTACTTAGAAACCACCTTAGCAACCATTACCAAGACATAGACATAAATTGCTTGTATCCCCAACACACACTCAAAGTTGTTCTGAAAAGTGAAAAGGCTAACGTCAACAGAGATAGGTTCTATGAACTGCTATTCAGAGAACAAGGTATTAGCTCACTTCACTTTCCAGGGAAAGCCTCAAAGAAAGGTAATATATCTACACCTACCCCTCCAACATGAAACTCTGATGGCTTTGCTTCCATCAGGTGAAATGTCCCCTATTGCATAATTCCCTTTTTGTTTTCTCTTCTTGAGATGAGGTTTCACTCTTGTTGCCCAGGCTGGAGTGCAATGGCACAAACTTGGCTGACTGCAACCTCCACCTCCAGGGTTCAAGCAATTTTCGTGCTTCAGCCTCCCGAGTAGCTGGGATTACAGGAATGTGCCACCACACCCAGCTAATTTTTTATTTTTATTATTTATATATATATATATATACACACATACACTTATTTAGAGACAGGGCTTCGCCATGTTGATCAGGCTGGTCTTGAACCCCTGACCTCAGGTGATCTGCCCACCTTGTCCTCCCAAAGCGCTGGATTACAGGTGTGAGCCACTGTGCCCAGCCGAAAAAGATAACTCTTTTGCTCCACATCTTCATAGCACATATGGACCCAGCACTATAATTTATTCTTGTATATTTTATCACTTTGTAAAGATTGAAATTCTTTTTCCTTTCCTATTTTGATTTGTTTTTTTTTGAGACGGAGTTTCTCTCTTGTTACCCAGGCTGGAGTGCAATGGAGCGATCTCGGCTCACCGCAACCTCCGCCTCCTGGGTTCAGGCAATTCTCCTGCCCCAGCCTCCTGAGTCGCTGGGATTACAGGCATGCGCCACCATGCCCAGCTAATTTTTTGTATTTTTAGTAGAGACGGGGTTTACCATGTTGACCAGGATGGTCTCGATCTCTTGACCTCGTGATCCACCCGCCTCGGCCTCCCACAGTGCTGGGATTACAGGCTTGAGCCACCGCGCCCGGCCTTCCTTTCCTTTTTAAAATTTTTTGTAGAGACAAGGTCTCGTCATGTTGCCCAGGTTGGTTCCAAACTCTCGGGCTGAATCAATCTTCCTGCCTTGGTCTCCCAAAGTGCTGGGATTATAGGTGTGAGACATGGCACCCAGCCTGGTTTTTCCATGTCCTTTAAGACTGTCTGGCATGCCTAGGTCCCTCTCCCTCACTATGGGACTAATGATGCCTAATATGAGAAGAAGAGAAAAGAGAAGCTAGAATTTGCTGTGGCAGCAGCATGAAGATTTGCAAAAAAAAAAAAAAAAAAAAAAAAGGCACTTCTTAAATAAGAAAGTTGAGGAGGAAAGAGACTAAGAGCATGTACTAAGCAGAAATCAGTAAATGCTTCTCTAACCACTTGAGACCGTCAAGAAGAGAAAACATAACACTGGTAACTTCTTTGCGTATCTCTGTACATAAAAGTCGGGCTCTGCCTATCCCTCTCTGTGGCATGGATCCTACATCCACAATTGCATTTAAATGGCCGTCGCCTCATTGACATATGCAGGAAGAGCCAAGGGGAAAACAGCAACTTGGAAACAACTATGACAGACTGACTAACATAAAGGACAAGAAAGGACTCTCGTGGGATGTAGGTGGAAGGAGAGGCCTCTGGTGGTGGCAGCTCCCTACCAGAGGTGTCCTGTCCTCTGTTCTCTTGGGGTAAAGGAGCCACTGGGTAGAAGCAGGCAGTCATTTGATAGAAACCACTTACAGGGGATCTTCTTAAATACTGTGTTGCACATGAAACGCTGGAATCGTTCAGCGTAGAAACCTGGGCGATGCACTGAGACAGTGTCCTGCAGAACAGATGAAAGGGCTATAGAGTTAGACAAAGGGAGGTCCAGCAAGAGAATCTCTAGTCCAAGGGTCATCTTCCCCCAGACCGAGCCCCTAGGAAAAGGGAAAAATCCACAAATGAAATAAGAAATAAATGCAAGAGGCTGGGCGCAGTGACTCACACCTATAATCCCAGCACTTTGGGAGGCCAAGGTGGGCGGATCACCTGAGGTCAGGACTTCAAGATCAGCCTAGCCAACGTGGCGAAACCCCGTCTCTACTAAAAATACAAAAATCAGCTAGGTGTGGTGGCAGGCACCTGTAATCCCAGCTACGTTGGAGACTGAGGCACGAGAATCACTTGAACCTAGGAGGTGGAGGTTGAAGTGAGCCAAGACTGCACCACTACACCCCAGCCTGAGTGACAGAGTGAGACTCCATCTCAACCCAGCACTTTGGGAGGCCAAGGTGGGCGGATCACTTTGAGGTCAAGAGTTCAAGACCAGCCTGGCCAACATGGTGAAACCCCGTCTCTAATAACATACAAAAATTAGCTGGGTATGGTGGCACATGCCTGTAGTCCCGGCTACTCAGGAGGCTAAAGCAGAAGAATCACTTGATCCTGGGAGGTGGAGGCTGCAATGACCCAAGATCGCACCATTGCACTCTAGCCTGGCAACAGAGCGAGACTCCAACTAAAAAAAAAAAAAGAATTCGCTGGGCATCGTGGTGCATGCCTGTAGTCCCAGATACTTGGGAAGCTGAGCCAGAAGAATCACTTGAAACTGAAAGATGGAGGGTGCAGTGAGCCAAGATCATGCCACTGCATTCAGCTTGGGTGACAGAGTGAGACCGTGTCTCAAAAAAAAAAAGCAAAGAAAAAAAGAAATGCAAGAAACTGAGAAAGCAAATCAGAAGTGACGGAAGCAGAAGTGGGAAGAGAGCCTCTAGTATTGCTACTCACCCCGTCATGTACCAGGGCTTTCCAAGAGTGCTCCAACTTCTTAACAAACCTGCAAGAAAAATGTACATCACCTATGCATGTCATTTTAAAATAACTGATCTTAATAACTTTCTATTTTAGGGGGTTAAAGGGGTAACAGAAAACCTTGGAAAGACAGAAGCTGGAAAGCATATCCACTGGTACACTGGTTTTCCAAAGAACAGGCATGGCAGTGCTGGTTCCTCACCAGACCAATGTTGTTTCTAGGTAAGTCAACTATTCCCCATGGGAAGAGGACAATTTATGTCCCTGGCAAATCAGGGACATGAATATTTATTATAAAAGGAGAGCTGAAGGAACAGATAGACAAGACTGGAAAGGGTAGTTAAAATTGGATGATAATACTGAACCAACAAATCAAGTACTTGGTCCCCCTCATTAGTACCTAAAACCTTACAGGAACAAAACTGGGGTCTAACGTTTCCAGCTCCTCCCTGATGATCACATCATTGCCTCTTAGTTCCACAGGCCAATACTTGTTATAGAACACAGTCACCCTCCTGTTTTTCCTCCATGGAAAAGGGTAACATTTCCAGCTGTATCCCAATGTGGAGTATGACTCATCTCACCGGTTTTTACAAAGAGCCAGACAGATGGCATAGTCTACCCTGGTGCTTCCAAGGACTGACTCAGCTTTCCACAAAAGGTATACATTATGTTTGGGGAGGGAGGTTATAAAGGCTGGGGAAAGTGGCAAAATCAAGGAAATAAACCACCTGAAAACTAATGAAGTAAGTAGCCACTTACTTCACTGTTCTTGCTTCAGGAAGAACTTGGCAACAAACCCATCTAAAAGAGAAATGTGAGTGGCTATCTAGATCCACCCTCTCTTAATTTGGGATCCATATGCTCCTCACCTGTAAGACTGTAGAATGTCAATGATGCCAATATAAAGCAGAAGCCTTTCCCCTTTACTATTCCGGGCAGGGATGCCACCCATACTGGAAAAGGCAAAAAGAAAGGGTTAAGAAAATCAGTTGGCTAGTTGAGTCAGATCAGGACAGGGAACTGAAACCTAAACATAATTGCCTCATCCTCCATAAACCAGGAGATCAGACAAAAAGAGAAAGAAATATATTAAAAAACCAGGAGAAGGCCGGGCGCAGTGGCTCAAGCCTGTAATCCCAGCACTTTGGGAGGCCGAGGCGGGTGGATCACGAGGTCAAGAGATCGAGACCATCCTGGTCAACATGGTGAAACCCCGTCTCTACTAAAAATACAAAAAATTAGCTGGGCATGGTGGCGCGTGCCTGTAATCCCAGCTACTCAGGAGGCTGAGGCAGGAGAATTGCCTGAATCGAGGAGGCGGAGGTTGCGGTGAGCCGAGATGGCGCCATTGCACTCCAGCCTGGGTAACAAGAACGAAACTCCGTCTCCAAAAAAAAAAAAAAAAAAAAAAATTAGCTGGGCATGGTGGCGCATGCCTGTAGTCCCAGCTACTCAGGAGGCTGAGGCAGGAGAACTGCCTGAACCCAGGAGGCGGAGGTTGCGGTGAGCCGAGATCGCGCCATTGCACTCCAGCCTGGGTAACAAGAGCGAAACTCCGTCTCAAAAAAAAAAAAAAAAAAAAAACCCAGGAGAAAATGAGATCCCTGCTCTAAACTCAGGAACTCTGTGCAGTATGTATTATAATCTAGTTTCCTCCAAATCTCTTTGCCTACCACTCCAATTCCACCAAAGAATCTAAAATTGCCACTACTCAGCAATTTTGGGAATGCTCTCCAAATTAACTCTTAACTTCTTAAGTACTTTTGTTACCTTAATTTATGCCCACTAAGACGCTCTTATTGAGTCATGTTACAGGACCCCTTAAAAAAATGACACCATCTAAGATCCTTTTGATATTTCAGTAACTACACTGACTAGATAGATCCATGAGATCCATGATGAAGAGGGCTTCCACAAAGTCTATAATAATTTTTTTTTTTGAGACAGGATCTCATTCTGTTGCCCAGGCTGGAGTGCAGTGGCTCATACAGTGGCTCACTGTAGCCTTGACCTCCTGGGCTCAAGCAATTCTTCTGCCTCAGCCTCCTGAGTAGATGGGACCACAAGCGATCACCAACACACTCAGGTATTTTTATTTTTTATAGAGATAAGGTCTCATCATGATGCTCAGACTGGTCTCAAACTCCCAGACTCAAGTGATCTGCCTGCCTCAGCCTCCCAAAGTGCTGGGATTACTGGCATGAGCCACTGTACCCAGCCCATTAATTATTTTTGATAAAGTTTTAATATATTACTAACAAAAAGGGTAGATTAAAAAATAATAAAGTTCTAATATAGTTCACAGACATGCATTTAAGACTTCAAGTATAATTTTTTCAGTCTTTAACTCTTGAATAGCTCTCCTTCTCAGATATAGTATAAACCTGAAATTAATCTTTCCTTTTTATATTAAAAAAGCCTGTTAAAGCTCATTCTATACTTCTGTAAACATTAATGTTACTGATTCAACTGCTGACTCAAGGCTACTCCTTTCCAGAAGCTGGGTCCCCCTTTCCTCAAGAAAAAGTGCTGTGAACCTATGTTCTCCTCCCTAGTGCCCTTGAGCCCACTCACTGGTCATCGGTCTCCATAGTGCCGCCCCGTCGAGCCTCTCCCTGGATGGATTCCATGGCTGTAGAATACAGAGCCTTTTGAGGGGCCGGTCTTCGAGTGTCAACTGAGTATTGTGTTTCACTGCTTAAGGGCTCTCGTTGTGCATGATCTATATTGTGGATTGACATCAAGAGGCTATAGTCCATTATCTTGAAGCTCTGCAGCACCTAATGGAAGGAAAAACTTGATCTAAGCCTTGGGAAATATGAAAATATTTTTCAGGATTTCAGGGTTTTTTTTTGAGACAAGGTCTCAATCTGTTACCTAGGCTAGAGTGCAGTAGTGTGATCTCCGCTCACTGTAGCTGCAACCTACCAGGCTCAAAGGATCTACCTACCTCAGCCGCCGAAGTAGCTGGGACTACAGGCCCACACCACTACACCCAGCTAATTTTTGTATTTTTAGTAGAGACAGGGTTTCACCATGCTGCCCAGGTGGTCTCTAATCCCTGGGCTCAAAAGGTCTGCCCAAATCGGCCTTTAAAAGCACTGGGGGCCAGGCGCAGTGGCTCAAGCCTGGAATCCCAGCACTTTGGGAGGCCGAGGCGGGTGGATCACGAGCTCAAGAGATCGAGACCATCCTGGTCAACATGGTGAAACCCCGTCTCTACTAAAAATACAAAAAATTAGCTGGGCATGGTGGCGCGTGCCTGTAATCCCAGCTACTCAGGAGGCTGAGGCAGGAGAATTGCCTGAACCCAGGAGGTGGAGGTTGCGGTGAGCCGAGATCGCACCATTGCACTCCAGCCTGGGTAACATGAGTGAAACTCCGTCTCAAAAAAAAAAAAAAAAGCACTGGGACTACTGGTAAGAGCCACCACGCCCAGCCTGACAGCTTTCATGATTTAATTATTAATAGTGAACCTGTAAGGCTAAACATAGGATTATCTTTTGCTCCTCCTATTCCCTCAAGAAAAGTATATTAATCTCCTCTGGTTAGTCTTTATTGAATTTTATTTATTTATTTATTTATTTAGGAGTCTTGCTTTGTCACCAGGCTGGAGTGCAGCGGCATAATCTTGGCTCACTGCAACCTCCAACTCCCTAGTTCAAGCAATTCTCCTGCCTCAGCCTCCTGAGTAGCTGGGATTACAGGCATGCGCCACCATACCAGCTAATTTTTGTATTTTTAATAGAGACGGGGTTTCACCATGTTGGCCAGGATGGTCTCAATCTCCTGGCCTCGTGATCCGTCCACCTTGGCTTCCCAAAGTGCTGGGATTACAGGTGTGAGCCACTGAACCCAGCCCGGTTAGTCTTTTTTTTTTTTTTGAGATGGAGTCTTGCTCTGCTGCCAAGCTGGAGTGCAGCAGCGTGATGGTTAATCTTTATTTATATCCCCTTAGCTTTCTCTCATTTCAGTAAATACAGTTTTCCCAAGTCCCACTGCCTAGCCCACGAGACTGTCTGTTCTTTCCACGTATGTCTCCATGAAGAGAACACTACCTTCTCAAAGGAACAAGGAATACATGTGCTGTGCTGTGAAGGTTCCACAATGAGGGTCTGGTAAAGTACACTTGGTGACAGAACAGATCTGTGGCAGGACCTTATACAACTAGCTTCAATTCAGTTAAACATTTACTGAGGCTGGGCATGGTGGCTCACACCTGTAATTTTGGCACTTTAAGAGGTCGAGATGGGTGGATCACAATGTCAGGAGTTCGAGACCAGCCTGACCAACATGGTGAAACCCCATCTCTACTAAAAATACAAAAATTAGCTGGGCACAGTAGAGCATGCCTATAGTCCCAGCTACTGGGGAGGCTGAGACAAGAGAATCACTTGAACCCGGGGGCAGAGGTTGCAGTGACCCGAGATCGCGCCACTGCACTCCAGCCCGGGCAACAGAGCAAGACTCAGTCTTGGGGGAAAAAAAAAAAAAAAAAAGACATCTACTGAATCCCCACCATGTGGGCACTGTGCCTGCTTACAGAGATATAAAGATATTTAAAAGAGTTTCTTTCCTCAAGGACATTATACATTTAGAAAGCCATACAAATGTAAAATAAACACAATACAGTTTAATATGTTCAACAGTGGGAAGTGTTCACATGATAGAAGGGTACAGAGGAGGTCAGTTCAAGAGTGATTATCTAGGCTGGTGCAGCAGCTCATGCCTATAATCCTAGCAATTTGGGAGGCCAAGGCAGATGGATCACTTGAGGTCAGGAGTTTGAAACCAGCCTGGCCAACATGGTGAAGCCCTGTCTCTACTAAAACTACAAAAGTTAGCCAGGTGTGGTGGCAGGTGCCTGTAATCCCAGCTACTGAGGAGACTGAGACAGAAGAATTGCTTGAACCTGGGAGGCAGAGGTTGCAGTGAGCTGAGACTGCACTACTGCACTCCAGCCTGGACAACAAGAGTGAAACTCTATCTCAAAAATAAAAAATAAATGTAAATACATGTATCTATTGCTGACAGGGCAACATGAAGGTAAGAAACAGGATGAAAAGTTAAGGTAGCTTGTTGAGAAACAAAGCTAGGGAGATGAAAGTCAGAAAATGGTTTGATTAGAGTGCCAAACATCTGAAATCCCTGTTGAGCTAACAATATGAAATGGACTGAAGAACAAAATTGAAAGCCCAGGTGGGGTTGGATATCATAAATCTACAGAGACACCAGTATACATGGTTGTATAATATTCTTCAGCAGCACTCAGCTTCCAAGATATAAATTTGGATTTGGCAGGCAGGACCAAAATCTGAGGAAGGATGATGCCGGTGTGAAAATAAGCAGAACATCTGACTACGAGGCCCAGGCTAGCTGGAAAAGGAAATAAAGCCCATTGGGGGAGGATAAACAGGGAGAAAGTAAAAATGTAAAGGAATGGCAATGAACTAATTAAAAGTTATTTTAGGCAGGGCACGGTGGCTCAAGCCTGTAATCCCAGCACTTTGGGAGGCCGAGGCGGGTGGATCATAAGGTCAAGAGATCGAGACCATCCTGGTCAACATGGTGAAACCCCATCTCTACTAAAAATACAAAAAACAGGCCGGGCGCAGTGGCTCAAGCCTGTAATCCCAGCACTTTGGGAGGCCGAGGCGGGTGGATCACCAGGTCAAGAGATCAAGACCATCCTGGTCAACATGGTGAAACCCCGTCTCTACTAAAACTACAAAAAATCAGCTGGGCATGGTGGCACGTGCCTGTAATCCCAGCTACTCAGGAGGCTGAGGCAGGAGAATTGCCTGAACCCAGGAGGCGC